ACTTAAATGATTTTAGCATATGGCTGCAATATAACAAAGAGTGAAAAATTTAAGGGGGTCTGAATACTTTCCGTACCCACTGTAGGTAAACTAGCTCCATCTCTACAAGCTGCAACGTTAAACGTGATGCACACAATAATGCATCAGTAATTATAATTGAATATTATATACACTGACATTAAGTCTGCAATTCTGGAGAAACAGCACTTTTACTTTTAGTACTTTAAGCTTTGATGCCAATATTTTTTGCAATTTTAATTAAGTTATATTTTGATTGCATAACCTAAACTTGTAACAGGGTATTTTTACACTGTTGTAAGGGATTTGAGTACTTCCACTAGTCCACACTGTCTTCCAAGTATTTCCTGTACAAATTCATTTCAATAGCATCATAAATTCATTATCCTTTGTATGACAGTTATGGGGGGAAACTATTTTACCAGCTGAACAGGTACACTGATCTGTCAGTAGAGAGAAAAGCTAAGTCTGTTGGAGTCTGTGTTTGTGTGTAGGGGCTTGGATTACTATCTTTGTGAGAACTAAGTCCACTTTCCAACCATCACAGAGGAGACACTTCTGCATTGTGAGACATTTAGTGGGTGCTCACTGTTAAAACGATTGACTGATGGTTTTAGGATTAAGGTTTGGGTCAGGTGTTATGGTTAAGGTGGTTTGGCATTTAGGGTAAGAGGATAGGAAATGCATGTCAGTGACTGCTGTCACAACTGGAGAACGACAGACGTGTGTGTGTGTGTGTGTGTGTTCGAGAGAGAGAGAGACATCAAGAGAGAGAAGTGCAGCACTTGAGTCAGTCTTCGGTGAGACAGCAGTGAGGGAGAATCATGCCGCGCCTGTTCCTTTCCCGTCAGCCACTTTGCTGCCATCATCATCACTGTCCTGTAAATCCAACCAGACACAGCTGAGGAATAATGTCAGCGAACAGCAGCACGGGGACAGCACAGGTGAGGGACTACACCTGTGTGCGCTTCTACGTGTCCACCGCGTCCTTCTCGGTGCTTCTTTTTTTCAACCTCATCATTAACTGGACCATAGTTCGCGAGGAGCGGTTTCGGAGTCATGCCCGCTTCGTGCTGGTTTTCCACCTGCTGGTGTCCGCTCTTGTCCACCTGGGCATGAGCAGTGTCTTCTACTACCAGATCCACCTGGACGCACGGCCGGGGCGCACCGTCTGCCTGACCATGATCACGATTTTGATCAGCAGCGCCTCCAACATCCTCCTGACGCTGACGGCGATGGCTTTGGACCGTTACTGTGCTGTGTGCCATCCCATGCGCTACACCGCCACCTGCACCGCGAGGTACTGGCCCTGGTTGTTGGGTGTTCTCACCTGGCTGGTGGCTTTGGTCATTCCCCTCAGTCTGCTCCTTCAACCAGACTCCCCAGCCAGCTACGATGGGCAGTGCGGCCCGGATCAGCTGAGGCAAGGAAAGCTGGAGAAGGTGCTGTTCATAGGTTTGTGCACGGCGCTCATACTCTACAGCTATGTGAGGATACTAGTGGAGGGGCGGCGGTTAGGGGTGCTCAACCAGCGGAACCGGGTCGGTTGCAGGACGATCGCCTTGCACGGCACCCAGCTGGCCGTTTACCTCCTCCCCAACTTTGTGAACTTTGTGCTGACGATCCTGTCCAAACGGAGATTAATCCAGGCAGAAACCAAAGAGCTGTCGGCCGTGGTGGTTTTTGCTTTCTTCAGCTTGGCGCAATGCGTTGCGCCAGTTGTTTACGGATTGCGAAAAGAGGAACTTCTGGAGCAGCTAAGTCACAGGTTCCCCTGCTGCTCCCGATACTTGAAGACTGTCCTCGGCTGGACTGTGAGAGCCAACTGGCCACCCACCCACCACAGAGCACGGTATGACCTGATGGATGCAGCAATTTACACCTGTTCCCTTTTAAAGCTGAGACACCAAGGAAATATAGTCTTACAGTTCACTTTATAACGAAATTATAAGTCCCAGTTAATTTGTTGGTGAATAATAAATCCGTTCTTAATGATCAATAAGAGCAACTTTTGTGAAATATCTCTGTTAATGGTGAATCTAATGGTCTTGAGCTCATTACTTTCTAATAGGTCTTCATGTCTGCAGCTGCGCAGTCATTGGTGAAAAGTCACTGTCTCAGCTAAAGGTAGTAAGTTATCTCCAATGACAGTGATTCAGTCTTTGATAAAAGAATTAATCAAATGTGCTGGGAAAATTAATTGCAGCTCTCCAAGAGGGTCAGAGCTAAAAGGCTAAGTGTTCTGACAGAGATATTTCACAACCACATTAGTTATAACTGATCAAGAAGACACCTGGAAAATGATTATTAATAATTTGTAAGGCCATACAACTTACAGGAAGCTGGTATCAAAGCGGGATGTTAAATATCTCAAGGTCTGAAGGTGTTTTCTTTCTTCTTTAAAATGTTTGTATGTGGAGCATGTCTGTGTGGGAAAAATTCGGCAACCCGATGTTCTTGAGTCATGGGAAAGATTCGTTCAAAATCAACGACTTGTTCGTGAATGACACATTACTAATATCTAATTATTTATCCATTATTGACAGCAAGTAAAGCCAAAAAGCTCATGTTAGGGAGTGGAAATGGCAGGAACCACCGCAGGGGTCTTAAAGTGTGTGATGCTAATGTTGTCTTCCTTGCAGTCAGTAAGCTCACAGAGGGTAAGCAAAGATGGCACAACAGACCAGAGTAGTGCAAATGTCACGTCTGTCACCACTCCTTCATTTGTCTTGTCATCTCAGACAGCGGACACATTGTTATGTCTTTATTTAACATGCAATTTAAGGATTATTCCCTTGCAGGACCTGCCTAGTAAATCAGTTTAGTTTTTCAGATATCATACTGATGCATAGCTGTTTCAAATATTTTATCCAGGGGCGCAGTTTTGCATAAGGACAGCAGGGACATGTCCCGAGCAATATTTTAAAAAAAGTTGAGGCGGTTGCAATTCAGTGCTAGTGATGCGGTAAAACAATAAAATGATTCACTTTGAAGCAGGTGATGTCAACAAGTGACTGCAATCATGATTTGTTACAAAAGTAGCATCTAGGAAAGGCCGAGCCCTTTAGGAGCAAAGATGGACCGAGGATCACCTGTTTGCCAATGTATGTGTGAGAGAATTATTGAAATGTTTAAAAACAATGCTGCTTAAAGATAGAAAGGAATTTGGATAAGCCACCCTCTTCAGTACATAACATAATTAAAAGATTCAAGGAATCTTTCACATCACTTCAGACAGATGACAAGTTATTATGTCTTTACTTAACATGCAATTTAAGGATTATTTTCGTGCAGGACCTGCCCAATAAGCCAGTTTCGAGTTGTCGAGTATCATACTGATGCATGCCTGTTTCACGTTATGCGCAAATGTGATATTTGCTCCCAGTAATAATTTGTAAGGCCATACAACTTACAGGAAGCTGGTATCAAAGCGGGATGTTAAATATCTCAAGGTCTGAAGGTGTTTTCTTTCTTCTTTAAAATGTTTGTATGTGGAGCATGTCTGTGTGGGAAAAATCTGTTAATTGAAATTTCCACACCTGAAGTAAAGGACTGTCACATGAAGTCAGATGAAATGTCAGAATACACAGTGGAAACTCATCCAGGAGAAGCATGTGCTTTACAGCTTCTTTTTTTACCTTGACCTTTTACAGGAGGGTAGCTATTTACTGAGCTTGTGTACAGCAGGTAATCAATCACACCTTCAGCTTTCTTCTTGTGCCTACTGTGTGATAAACTAACATATCCTTTAACCAAACACAGCACAGCAGTTGCAGAGAAAATGCCTCTTTCCAATCTGAAATGAGAGTGCTTGGTGCTATGCCGATCGCACTAACAATCCTTTATAACAACTGATTGTACACAATGAAATGTGCCAAGGAGTGAGTGAGCATTTCTATGGAAGCTCAAGGTTCAACTTAACCCATTATTGGACCCCAAAGAAGGGGAGCATCAGGCCACGCTACCATAAATCTCCAGGGTCCCATAATAAGCCACGCCACTTTCTAACCCAAACCGATCATTGCACACAGATATCAAAACATGTATTCACTCTGACTTGAATACTAAGCATCCCTGAATCCTATTTTCACCCAAGCATGTATTTTCTCAGGTTATACAGTGGCTGGTCCAGCTGGCACACCTAAACCTAACAAGATGCATGAAAGGAAAAGTTCAAATTCTGGGGAAATGCATCTGTTCACTTTCTTGCTGAGAGCTAGATAAGAAGATCAATACCATTCTTATGTCTGTGCATTAAATATGAATCTAAACTCAGCTAGTGCACAGGAAACAGTCAGCTCTGTCCAAAAGTAATGTGCAGGACAGTTTCTTTGGCTAAACTAACTGTTTCCAGTCCATGTTAAGATGCTTGCTGCACTTTCCAAAACGCAGAACTACGTCCTAAACTGCTGTAGGTCCACACGCATTGTCATAAACAGCTAACAACCAGAAACAGTCATTTTGCAGAGGATATTGAAGTCCTGGAAAACACTGAAAAGAAGTGCTTAATTCAAGTGTTAAAATGCAGACTCTTTGCAGACAGGTGATTAATAGCAAGACCACTTGAGTGACAGAAATAAGTGTAATTAGTTGATTTGCATAAGGGACAACATTACTGCTCTTACTGTGACTAAATGAGTAATTAAAGTGGACATTTGTTGCACTGTTTCAGGATGAAACCACAGCTGAACACAAAATACTTCCCGTTTAGATGTTTTTGAAATTTGAGCGTGACACATTTTACCACAACACCCCAGAGGGCACATGAGCTCATTACTGAACCTATGGTGTTATTTCAGGGTTTTTGTTTTTACTTATTTTCCCCCCAGGGAGCGAGCAATGACAGCCCAGACAATCATCTCCCTAGAGGTCTCGCAAGTGGCAGAAGAGGGGGAGGAAACTAGGCCGATGTCAGTCAGGACCTCGTCACATGACTTATTCTCATGTCAAGGTGATAAAGATGGCACCTGATGGGTAAAAGATGGTGGATGCCAGGATGTCAACTGCCACCGGAAAGTTTGGTCAAGTGGCTGGGGAACTAAAAGGAGCCAGCCAAAGGAATCTGATTGGACTACTCGGTTGAGTCCGGACCAGGGAAGATTCAGACCAGGACGTGTGACAACAAAGGGCATGAACACGCTTCTACTTTGCTCTGTTTTTGGCCTGTGTGGCTCACGCTGACTGAGAGTGAAGGTGCCCAGTGGCCAACAGTAGAAGACAACACGATATCAGGAGAACGGGTCAGTTCTCTTTTTGTAAACATTCCTGCCTGGTCCAATGATTTAAGACCAAGTCACAAGTCAACTTCTATAACTTCGGGGCTATAACCAGCCCAGCATCATTTGGGATTCAAATTATTGTGCTTGAGGATATAATTTAACATATGGTCTGATGAACATTGTTTCCACGTCTTCTGAAGCTTGTGGATTTTGAAACTTGTATCTAATGGTTTCAGAACATTTCCAGCAGCAGAGGGGAGGTGATGCACACAACACGTCTTCATGTCTTCATTCAGTGTGGCAGTAAATATATGAAGACATCTCACGGTTCATTTCACATTTTTAGCAAAAGTTAATAACATTCAGAAATGCTTCTTCACGTCCTCACAGAGAAGTTAGATGAGAAGCTTGATATGACTCTCAGGGATCATGGCTTCATTCCCAAAGTACTGACTTTACTAAGTGGTGTTCTAAGTATTGATTAGGGGAGTAAAGATAAACAAGGATTTGTAAAGATAAACAAATGTGAATCGGAAAATCGATACGAGTCAGATGTACACCCCATCTCCTGCTGGCATTCAAAACACGCCTCCTTAACAAAGCAGGTCTAGGAAAGACACACAGTACAGATAGCTGCAGGAGTAAACAGTGCTAGTAGCCACTTCAGAGTGCAGAACATGCAGCACTTGTGTCAAACATACCAGGAGCACAACCAAACGAGGTCAACACATTGAACTGATGGAAACTATTTGCTGTGAGTCAGACTGAGGCCAGTGGGCAAGCAAAGGAGGCCTGTGTCAGCAGCTACATTCACAGGACATTAGCTGATAATTCTACCGTGTTGGGTTGAACTCAGTAACTGAAGCTATAAGCTGTTTCATTTGCAAGGACATGTGTTGTTGACAATGTGGGATTTGGACAAATGACAGCGACTCTGAAGCTGAGGCCCACAATAACCAGTCAGCAGGTTTTAGGTGAAAGATGCAGTCCAGCTCTGTATGATGTGGTGAAACAGCAGCTGGAGGTTTACCAGTCCCCAGCGCCCATTGTTTACTACTGTTAAAAAGAGAAGACATCATGTTTCATCTATTTAGCTACTAACCGGCCACTTTATTAGGTACACCTGTACCATTGTATGCACTTCAACAACACTTCCACTTTAACATCTGTGTGTATGAAGCTGAAAATGTTTCAGTTTTTGGTGAAATTGTTATACATATATCAATTCAATTATATGTTTATTATTGGGGTCACAGTAAAAGGTTGTGTTGTACTGGACTACATTATATCTAGATATCTCTATATTTTTGTCCTGAAACAGTCAGAATATTAGGAACACCATCTTTAACTATGACCTCATTAATAAACAAATGAATTTACAAATTTATGACAAAACAAACATTTGGAGCTTCATAAACACCGATGTTAAGGTGGAAGTGTTGCACTGAATTACACGATTGTACAGGTGTACCTAATAAAGTGGTTGGTCATTGTACAAAACTCCTTTGAGCAAACACCAACTCTCTTTAATTTTATACCCTAAACAGATACTTTAATGTATATATAGTCTTTCAAATAAAAGCTAAATTAAATCATTCTGAATCATACTGTATCATATCATTACAAAATTTGCTGTCTTTTTATTTTTTTTATTTTTTATCTAATCATGGACCATGTGCATTAAAATGCACTCAGAGGTATTCAGCAGATTCATCACGACCTATTGCTCAGGCCTACATATTAGCCACTTTTACTAATAAAAAGTATCAGTATTGATATTTGTGATGTTAGCGTGGCTTTTAATAGGTAAGAGATCGAAACCAAGACAGCCATCTGTTAGTGAGGAGATGTGGCGTACTTAAAAAAGACAAACTGTGGATGCACATTTCTGTCTGGTTATTAATAAGTTAGCCATAAAAAATAGTCATGGTAAGTAAAAAATCTTAACTTCCTAAGTAAAAATTTGGTCATTTTGTTTTTTGTTTTATTTTACTTTGGTCAAAATTAGAATAAGTTAGAAATCCGACTACATAAAAGTGGGATTTCATAATTTTGACTTTATCTCAATTTGGACTTGAGCAAATTTTGACTTCCTCAGTAAACATTGATTTAAAAAAAAATGTAATAAGACATTTTTGCTAGTCAAAATTTCAACTTTAATCATTTTGATCTTTCATCTCAAAATTTTGGTTTTGTGAAAATGTTATCTTACTACAAATACAGGTAATAATTCTTTTCATCATGACCAACTTTTCTAGGTTTTTGTTTGGCTATAGGAAACGGCTAGTTCGTCTAAATGGCTTACTAGCAGCCTACAATCAAACAAATTAACGTTTCAAATTTAGTTTTTCTATGGAGTAAACAAGATACTGTGAGTTGTAGAGATGCTAGGGGGCAGTTTATGTTACGCTCAGAGGGAGGCTTGTCTTTCCACTTCCAGTTTTTAGCCTTATCCCGGCTTTAGCCTCACAATTAACAAATTACATCTTTAATATTTTCCCGTTTTGCTAACTCCTGGCACTAAAATCAGCCACATCTCCTAAAATATTAAATGATTCCTTTAAGGTAAGTTAAACGCAGTCTACAAGCAAAACAAAAAACAAACAAAACAAACCTGCTATTTCAATCCATCTGTGGGCACAGTTGGGTTTGTCAGTTACTTTTCGGTCAAATGGGGCCACACATGCTGGGGAATTCTCAACATGTTAACCACAGCCCTCAGTCTCACACCCAGAGGAGCAGCAGCATTTGACAAGTGACAGTATGTAAGCTCTGGGAGGTGTTCTGCTTTGTGTTTCACAGCAGCACCTTCGCTCCAGCAATCATGTGTTGGTGGCTAAGCACTTACTTGCATTCCTGTAAAGTGCTGCTGCCCTGTAAGAGTCTGAGCTGCAGAAGTGAAAGCAAGACTGCATATTATAATCAATTCAACAGAAATAGGAAGTGGCTTTGGCGGGAACAGGGTAAAATACTTATCACATGAAAGCCTGGTATGAGATGCTTTCAGATTGAAGAGTAAAACACCACTAAGCACTTATTTATCTGTGTATTAAGTCACACCATTATATGTACAGACAATCATTAACCTCATGTTGGAGCTGCAAGAAACACCTTTAAACCAGGTACCCAGACTTTCTGCAGTTGCAGTGAATGATGCTTGCTAGCACAGAAAACTAAACGCCATCTTTGGACGTTAATGTGACAAACAAAGTGAAGAATGAAGCTGCACATTCTGTGTCTTGACTCAAGTCACAAGAGGAACCTCAAACAGCATCTGTGGCCTGGTTTGTAAGGAAAAGGCTTTGCTTCTGACAATGATTTTGTGATGGACACTGAGTGAGCTTAACAGAAAAGTACATACTGTAAACACCACATTATATAAAGGTCATTTGTACATAATATAGGGAAACCTGTCTTTGAATAAATTAAATGGCTTAAAAGAGACTAGTTCCAAGCTTCCTTTGCTAACTGACCATGTATCATGAAGCTGCATTGACACTCTTTTTATGTTTAATACAGAGAAAAACTTAGTTTCAACTGATTAAATCATTCAATTAGCTACAGTCATGAAAGTTGAGGTACAAAGTAAATGGTGCATTTAAAGGTACTGGCTCTGTCCCCAGCTGTCGATGCGTTACACTTCACGGCCAAGTGAATCCTTTATTGAATTTGCTGTTCACATGCCATTTAGTTTAGTTGGCCTATCTGACAGTACACACATTGGCAAAGAGAAGGGACTGGGGGCAACTCAGCGAAACAGTCATAAGCAAATGTTATGCAGTGTGTTACAGTAAATGTCAATGAAGTCTGAAAAAACAAAATGCTGTGGAAAACATGTTGGACTGGTTTAACTGCGCCAAAGTCAACGAAGCAACTAGTAAATGTAATATTTGCAGGAAGGTACTTTCAGAATACGGGAAAGACCCGTGCTTTATTTAAACATTTATTTAGAGTCCAACATGTTAAAGTAATGACTAGGGTCACAGACGAGTGCTCATTCATCTTCACTGAATGACAAAGTAGAGCCGCTGTTGTTTTTACTTTTACTTCCACAACTCCTGCGCCGACTGACCTGTTAGCACACTAGAAGCAACAAATTGATGTAAATATTAAATTATCTTACATTTAGAACACTTATTTTAAACTAAGCACTTAAACTGATTCAATATGGGCTTCGATGCAAAGATGCAACTGACCCCCAGCCCTGCTCTAGTGCACATGTCCAAGTGTCCTCGTGCAAGGCACGAAATCCTAAATAGTTCCTGACGGTCAGGGTCAGGACCGTGCATGGAGGCTCGCTGTGTTTTTGTGTAAAATGTCAACTCTACATCCTAGTTGTATAAGTGTAGCCATGTTACCTTTTACCACTGATGTGTGATGGAGCATTAATGGCCATAAAGTCGATGAAGTCTGAGAGAATCTGGCCTACATAAGCACAGAACCTGGTTAGAGATCTAAAAGGCTGAAAAACAAACAAACAAACAAACAAACAAAAAGACACAGGGAGAGTGGCACATTTAGAAACCCAGAGGGTGGGGAGACACCACTCCTCCATTCTCCACCACGGCTGTAGAGATGGCCTGCAGATTTTTGAAGAGCTGTTTGGACTGGCTAGAGTGCAGAGCCTTGACGTCGTGCAAGACCCTGTCGTAGGCCTGAGGAGTACAGGGAGCATGAAACCGAATTAAAATGCTTCATCGCCAAAACTGGTAAAATAGAATTTATCTGCTTCATCTCGCAGTTATTGATCAGGAGCATTTGTCTGCAGAGATGTTGGGCAGGAAGGCTGCAGACAGACACCGACGGTGTGGAGAAAATACTGATACAGTGATATTTAACTAGCTGTTTTCAGGAATATCGTCCCATACTATCTATGTTTATCGTCCATATTATTACTCTATAATTAAACCTAATAGAGAGCATCAATCCCTAACACTAATGTTGAGAAAACATTCTAAGCTACACAATTTCCCAATCATCCTAAATCTAGGATACAGATGTGTACGTGCGTCTGCTTGCGAAGAGGCTCTTACCTCCATACACCAGGTCTCACACAGCATCTTTTCGTGCTGAGCTGAGGCATGGCCTTGATTCAGAGAGCGTGACGCCCTGCAGGGGGAGGAAAAAGGAAAAAGAGATGTCACTTTGTGCTGTGTGGGAGGGTGCATGTGGAATAATAGTATACCATAGAGAAAGTGAGTGA